CATGTGAAGGAACTACGCGAGTCACTCCGCGCATCATCTCAATTTGAGCTCCCGCAAACTCGTATCAGGTCCTTCGAGGACCAACCGACTGGTCACGCTTCGAGTTCTACGCCAAACGCGTTAAAAACTTCAGCTACATCCGTGACCCAGACCACCTCGACATAGCCCTACACGTCTACTTCCGCATCGCCCAACTTCGAGCCTCACCCATCCTCTTCCCCTCCCTCCAACACATCCGCTGTCCATCCATCAGCTCAAACGATTTCCTGATCTCCGGCATATGTCTCTTTCTCTCCCCGTCTTTGGTAGCAGTGGAGATGGGGGTGATTACAATTTACAAGTGTGGAAGATAAATTGTGTGGCACCCTTTTGTTTACGCTTTTGAATGATGGTGCGGAGTTGGTGAAGATTATACTGAGGGGAGAGGGGCTGGGGAAGGAGACAATGTCGCTAATACCTCGTTTTGGGAGGCTGAGGGTATTGGAACTTGGAGGTATGGGCAAATCTCTGAGATTGCCGTCGTTGGAACGCGTTGGGGCACTGTCGGCGCTTACAGGCCTCGAAGTGGACTTTATAAACTCACCAATACCCCCCTTGGCGAATACCGTAGGCTTCAGACACCTAAGGAGTCTATGCATCTCCGCATCGCTCCCATTCATCCAATCGTTCGCTGTCAACATATCAACGGACCAACTAGACACCTTTGTCTGCCTTTCACCTCCTGAACCAGGGTTCGACATGAAACTCTTGGTTGAGGACGTCGTTTCGCGCTGGTCTAGCTCCTTACGATGTTTCGGGCTCAGACTAACACCGGAGGACACGGAGGCGGAAGAGTTACCTCTCGACACGTTAAAGCCTTTATTCCCTTTACAGAACCTCCGCACGCTCAGTCTACGTGGATACCTTATGGACATCAGCGATGACCTGATAAAAGAGTGGGCGAAGACCTGGCCAAACTTGAACGACCTCCTCCTCCCGTTCCTCCCTCCCACTCGTGTGCGGCCGAGGATGAAGTCTCTTTGAGTCCTAGTGGAAAGTTGTCCCAAGCTTACGGAACTGCGGATACCCCTGGACACGAGCGACATACAGGCTGTACAACCCTTTTTGTCATCGAGGAAACCATTATATCCACAGCTCAAACATGAACTGAAGACGCTCACGATTGCATTGGTAGTAGACGATTGGGATGCGCGGGACGCTTTTCTTATTGGACGGTACTTGGATGGTTTGTTCCCAGGTTTGAAGTGCGTGCGTTCGTATGAGGGACATGAGGACGA